TGGAATATAATGATCACTGCAGGCCGCAGAATGCGAAGTTATTATTGTTGCAACACTATTTATTATAAAATAAACCAAAAAACAAAAGGCTACCCTCGTATGAAAAAAAATTAAAATTGATTTGCGGAAATCAACTAAAAAAAACACTTTGCAACCAGTTAACCAGTTAAAGTTTTTCTCCCAATTTATCACAATTAAAAAAGTGTAGCATTTGTGAAAACTACCAAAAAATTGATTTAAATTCAGAGCAGGTGACCTATAGATTACTTAAAAACTATGTTATATCCGTCTTTTTTTAATAAATCCAAGTTCTTAAGGCCACACTCAGATCTTTGAGGCCTGTTTGCACTGATTTTTTAGGCCTGTTTGCACAAAAAGTTGCCATCTGATCGTTTTTTTCTCAGCAGACTGAGATCACATTTTTTGAAAATCTACAATGTTGTACATATGTACATATCAATCAGATTGTTATCAGTGAGTCATGTTTTGCAAAGGCTAATAATCACTTGCAAAATTTTTTTACTGAAGCAACAAAAACTCGTAGCTGATCATGCTGCGCAAAAATTGAATAATTAGGAGTTGTTCGTCTTCTCTGTTGTCCAAATTAGAGTTATGTTTTGGGAGACCAATATGAAATCAAGAACAAGATAAAAAGTAAAGACGATTGCGTTTGCTGCAATGAGTTGCCAGATGTCTTGGTGATTTAAGAGTTTTTTAGCGCAAACCTATTGTATCCTTGGAGACTTTGAATTTGATTTTGGAGATCCTTGGAAAAAAAACCCGAACAAAAACCATCTGATCAATAAAATTTTCTCGCTGTTGACATTTGGAGGAGCTTTTAATATTTCATCATGTTTCCTTTTTGCAACTTGGGGAGTAGCTTGACTAGTATTCAGCAGTTTTGCAAAACAGTGGACTGGGCATTAAATTTCCCTTTATGTTGTTAGTTGTTCCCGTTTTTCAACAGCTTTGCTATGTTCGGTCGCATCGTCATTATCTTTTTTATACGTGAGGACACTTGGATGTTTATACATTCGATTTCAAATATGATTTTAAGAGGCTCACTAATTAGCTCAGAGCCGCAATTGTAATTTAGTGGCAAGGAAGCGCTAGCTATACTTCTTCGAACACTAACTTTTGATCTAAATTAGTAACTCTTAGCTTAAATCAAAATTTTTAGCTCAGTTTGTCTCGGCACTGATAACCCTTTTTGAGTTTTTTGTTATATGCCCAAATTCGCATGACCAAATTTGACCAAAATCAATTAGCTGTAATTTTTGCCTTGACGTGGAAAAAATCACAAATAGAAAAAATAAATACAACTAATTACAAAGTCCTTCCCTCATCGAGCATGCATAGATTCTGCAGAATTATTATTTCATCCAGACAAATTCATCACCTTGTTCTGTTTGATCTCTTGAGAAATATGCAATCCGCTGTTTTTTTGTTCCAGGTTAAAAAAAGACTGCTTGTATATCAGGGTAGAACCCTGAATGTTCAGACTTCCCTTTAAGGCCAATAAACAATTATTTTTGTTATTGAGCTGACGAAATAAAAAAAAAGAATTTATCTATCATTAGCTAATGTGAAATACAAATGAATGTATTCCGCGTCTGTCGTATTAACATTTTCAATGAACCGAATATTTTGCTTCAATTCACTTTTTTAGACGCATTAATCCGCCGCTTACGCGTGTTGTTATAACACAATTTATCGCTCGTTAATTACCTAAAATTTGCCAAATTTGTCATTTTCAATTCCCTTTCCTCATGTTTTTTTAACCAAAATTAATCACACGTGAATTTTTTTATATTTGGGCTCCGGATAACAGTGTTTTTCAGATTTATAAAAAAATTCTTTTAAAAATATTTAGTTAAAAAGTCAAAATTTGGATGATTCAAAAACCAAGACTGCTCGTATCAGGGCAAAACCCTGAGTGTTTCAAATGCCCATTAACTATTAACTGGTCTATAATAATTTTTGCTTAGTGAAATATTGACAAACTATGAGTTTCAGGCTGAAAATTTGGAAGGATTTTTAGAAAGGGATAATTCATCGCGTGGCAGGATAAAACAGTGGTGTGAAAACTCCGCGGGGCATACGAAGATCCGAGGATCAATCATCTGATAGAAAAAGTTTTTTTTTAAATTGGTCTGCATAAAAAACCACGCAGGGCATTCATATTCCTCATTTTTTTTGAAAGTCGGAAAAAACCGGCCCAAGCATAATTTTTTCGTTTTGTTCGAAGTCGAAACAAAAACAAAATTCCTCGAATAAAAGTAGAACAAACACATTTTTTCTGCTTTTCTGAAATTGCCGGAAAATTATAACATTGTGTCACAATTTCTGGTTAAAATCAAAGAGCATAACTTATTAGTTGGATAGAACAATTTTAGCTTTCATACGAGAGCGATATTTGAGATACTTAAAGGCAAATGCTAATTTTTTTATCTTTCGGATTTTTTGAAACCCTTTTTTCAGTCAGTTCTACGTTTGATTGATCAAAAAAAAGTTCACCCAAATTGGCAAACTATTTATCCAAAAAAATATAAACTATTACAGATAAAAACTTAAAAACTAGATAGGTTAACAATTTCAAATACAAGAAACTTATTTTCTCCGAGTACTTTCATCAAGTTTTGATTACAAGTGAAATAGACAACGAAATTTGCAAAAGAAACAATTGCCAAAATCATACTGCATTACTCAAGCTTGTTTTCGTGGTTTTCTACCACTGGAAAACATTCCATGTTTTAAAATTTCAGTGGCTTTGTTTTTTAAAAGCTTTCAGAGGAAATCTGCTGGGTGAAACCCTCGTATCGGATTTTTTGATTGATGAAATAAAAATCAACCTATCAGCCTTGAGTTGTCAAAAACTTCAAACTAATTGCAAAGTTTCAAAGTTTCAAAGTACCTCAAAAATGCAGAAAGAAAAATAGCAGAGTGGAAAATTAGCAGATTATACAATTGTTGCCAACTTGCTAGATTGGAAACAGAAATTTTCAGCAAGTTTTTTGGTTGCTATCAGCGGAGAGAGCTCATTGCTGTGTGCACGAAAAGTTCCAGGTAATTGATTTGGAGTGATTTAAGTTGATTTAGGAAGATAGATAAGCAAATTAGACGACCAGAAAATTACAGAAATTTGACAATAACTTTGCTTGAAAAAATACTGGTTTTCCAAAGTTAATTCAAGTTAATAAATTCAGAGTTCTAAAATTAATGCATTTCTAAATTATATAGTTTTTACTTTTCAATTTATTGTTCTGTAATTAAATTACAAAAATATTTTTGATCAATTCTGTGATCATAGTCTTTTTGTTTTTTTTATCACTTCAATGCAAGTATAAAATTTAGTGGCCCAGTTTTTATCGTCCCAATTTACAATGATTTTTTGTCTAAGTTACGTTTTTTTTCCGGTCGCCTTCTTTTCTTGTCGTCTAACTTTCTTGGCCCTGATTAAAAGTATTTCATCATTTGGTCCTTCCATCAAATGAATAACCACAAAGACAATTAATTTTTTTTCTTCAGCTCAATTAAAGTGGCACTATCTCCCACAAGGTTGCTTGTATCAGGGCGACGCCAGGAATGTTTCGACTGCCTTTTAAAGTCTAAGGAGCAGTGCTCGCTTCAATTATATTGATGAATTTTTCAAAACAAAAAATTAAAAAAGTGAAAAGAAAAATTATTTTGAGTTTTTACTATAAAATCATCCCCCAACGCGTAACATAAAGTACAAAGAGATAGTTTTCACTCCTTGTAACTAGCATTTATGACATACAGCTTGCTTTAACCAGTTTGGAAAAATTTCTAGGTCGGATTAACTCTCCGCTTACTCATTATTAGCGCGAATTATATTGCGCGTAAATTGTTCCAAATTAGCCATATTGGCAATTTTCAAACCACCATAACTTTACAAAAAGACTATCAAGGTAAAATATATTTTGAATTTTTAGCTCAGGGTAACAATAACATTCAGATGATAAAAAAAATTTTGGTCAAAAATCGAAATTTGTCTGGAGAAAAAAACCAACCCGAGCACAAGTATTCCGTCACTTTCGTCAAAAGTCGGCACAATAAGATAGTTTCTGCAAAGTTTAGTTTCCAAAAAACATCGACTTTTTTAATATACAAATTTTATATTGAAACTGCGTTTGGAAACCTCTAGTGCACAGTAAGTCATTAACCGGCTATTTTTTTTAAACCGGTTTGTATATTTTGAAAAGGGCTTTTTTAGTGTTTTATTGAAAAAATTATTTCGATCCGCTTAAGAAAGGGTAAATTTTGAAAAGTAAAATAGTTAACCCCCCCCCCCCCCCCTTCCCCCTCCACGCGAAAATCTTTAAAAATATATATTGATGAAAAAAAGACCTAGCTTTAGAGAAACGCATCGTTTGGGTAAGATTTTTGTTCATAATAGATTGAGCACCCTAGATGGTCCAATGGTGCTCCCTTAACTGTTTATTTTGTCCCTGAACATGTAAGCTCAACTTATGAACTTTGAGTTAAGATCTTGCTTTGTTTCTTGAAGCTGGAAATTGATTTCTAAGTTTTTCCCCTAATTCAGATGACCTATTTGTTTGTTTCCTTAATTTGACGAAATAATTTATGACGAAATAATTTATTCCTGAGTTTCTTTCCTATTTTGGTTGACTTGGCTACCTTAAGTAACCTGGAGTTACTTTTCATAATCTTAGGGCATTTTCGGTTATTAGGGCATTTTTGAATTCAATTTAATTTAGTGTTGCGACCGCTCAACCGATCATTTCAACGGTCAAAAACCGATAAATGGAAGCAAGATTACACATAGTCAACCCGAGACCTGAATAAACTAGAATAAACCTGAATAAACCTGAATAAACCTTTCCAATAATCTTTATTTGAAAATGGCAAATAATCATTTCAAAAAATTTCATTTAGATCCAAGATGACGGTCATTGCGGAGTTCAAAAGCTATTAACTCAATTTGAAGCCCACCATAAAATCAATTTGTCCTTTTTCAGGGAAGAAATTGTGCGAATTTATTAACTGGTTGAAGATGCAGCAAATTACCACTAAGTGACAGTTGTTACCTGGGCAACTGCATTGGGATTCAGTTCAGACCATTTTCAGTAACTAATGAAGACTACCTCCACTTATTTATTTGAGAAGACGACCTCTCTTTTAATCTTCACAATCTGGTTGTTTGGTCAATTATTGTACACTTGTTAGCCCACATAATCGATTATTAGAAGACACACCGCCAAGAGAAGCAGGACAGGCCTTCCCCATTTTAGTTCAGATTTCTGCTCACGCAAAAACTATATATCTAATTGTTATTTTTTTCCTTCTGCTTCATTTTTATTTAATTGGAAAAAATATATATCAATACCACTTTTTTAAATTCCTTATTTGAAAATTTTTATTAAAATGCGGGTACATAATTACTCGAAAAATATAGCTTCCCTTGAGCCCGAATTATTGTCTCCTTTATCATCATTTGAATCAGAAAAGCCAGCCGAAGCTATCATCCAAGTTCTCGGAAGTTATGTCATCCCAGCCACTTCGGTTGTCGGAATTCTGTTCAACAGTTTGACAGTCTGTGTCGTCTGTTACATGGGGCTGAATACTTCGTCTCTTGTGTACATGCTGCTTGTAGCTGTCGGGGATTCGCTCAGCGTATTCATAGACGGCATTCTCAACATCGGGTTAGGGCGAAAAAAAATTGCAGCGCAAAAATTTATGAATTAATAGTAATTAACATTGATTTATTGGTTTGTCAAATCAATCCCACGTAGCCCTCAAAAAACGAAAAAACTTCAATCATGTCCATATATGAAAAAATTTCCATATATGGAGAGTTTTGGAAAATAATATCTTGATCATGTAATTTTGATATAGAACGGATCAATGCTATCCAGAAAATTTTAATGCAAATTTTGAAAACTTAAAATAATGTCTGAACCATTTCATAAACATTGGCTGCATGGCATTTTTATGACCAACCTGGTATTAGCTATGCACATAGCCGTTTTTTCGATTTCGGTTATTTCTTACCATTTATTAAAAAACTGTATATATGATGATGTGTTGTAATATAGTGTACATAATTCCGATTGATTGCCTTGTTTAGATTCGTGCACTGGAACTTGCCGAAACTGCTCACCCGCAGCAACTTGTCGTGTAAGGTGGGCCAGTGGGTGAGCTACTTGACCACCTTCGGAACCCAGTTCACTCTCGTCCTCTTCACCCTGGACAGATTCATAGCCATGTGCAGACCAGTCTACTACAACCAGAATCTCAAACACAATCTCACATATCCAGTCAAGGTCGGCATGTGTTGAAAAAACTAGATCTACCAAAGAATTTGTCGAATTGTCTACAGTAAAACTCATTTCAAGAAAAAAAAACAGTAATTAAATTGGCATCGGGACAAAATTTACGAACCAAAACAAAAACAACAGTCAATACTTGAAGACAATACCGAAAAAAATCAAAACATTTTTTTTGACAATACCGAAAAAAATTCGTTCAAAATCAAATAAAAGAAGACACCCCCACAATAAACTTTTTTCGATCGCTACGCGAAACATGTTAAATAAGAAACAGGAAGCATTCGTCCAAACGAGCATTCGAAATAAAGAATGCGCACGGCCCGGGCCATAAATGTTAACTTCATTTTGGGATTGAATACTAAACAACGACCGCGAGAGATAACTGGTCAGTTTTGGGGGCTATACTCAAGTGCAAAGGACCTAATATGCAAAAGTTTTCAACCAACCAATGCCCTTTATACTGTCTAAAAGTGGGTGATATTCTCATAATAGAAAGAACGAATGATGGAAAATTTTCAACCAATCAGAATCAGTAGAAATTCCTATTCGCTGAATGATTTTTGTATTGAACCAAAGTCGAAATTAGCAGAAACTGAGATAGAGCATGCACAGTTTGTGCCAAAACCATCAATTTGGTGTTATATTCTTCAATTTATTCAAACTGATATCCGTGAAAAATCAAGCTTTTTCCATGTGTCTGCGATCGGGCAATGTTTGAACAGTCATGCATCTGTAATCAGCTTGTTTTTGATTAGGTCAAAAATCGAATTATTAGCCTAGACTTATTGGCTTTCTTTCTGATTTTTTCGAGGTTTTTGAATATTCAATTCTAATAGGCCGAAAAGAACTGAGAATAGTTTTCGAACATTCGTTCCCTCCATCATGAGTGTTGTTTGCATCCCGTACTAAAATTTCCGTTAATCATCAATTATCTGGTGATTTTATAATCGAACAAAAATTTCAGCCTCTAACAAGCAATTATATGACAATTTTCTGTTCGACGACAAAAATAATTGCCCGCACTCAGTAAAAAGAGAACATAATAAAAGATTATAATGGGTTATTATTGTCAGTCTGCATAAATTTCAAAAAAAAATTGATTATAATCAATTAAAATGGATTATAATGCTACTACTTTTCGAAACAATAAAAATCTTTGTAATCGTTTATAATCAATTATAATCGATTATTTAAAAAAAAACTTTTCTGAAATTTAGTTGAATTATAATCCATTATAATGGATTATAAACCATTATTATTCAAAAGTTGTCATCGCTTTATTACGTTTTGATTTTGTTTTGTTTTGTGTGCTTTTCAGTTGGTTACCGAACTAAAAGAAACTGTAATTTTGTACTTAAAGCCAGGGGCGGTTTTACGGGGGGGGGGGCGGCTGGGGTTTCCCCCTTTGAACTATCTTGAGATATCAATTTTTGGTGACGGAGCCTAAGAATTTTCTAAACGCGTCTTTGGCGCCAATATATACTAATTTTGAGGGGGAGAGCGCGCCAAAATAAACGCGATTTTTGGATCAAAGGTTTCCTGAACGCCTTTTTTGGCCTGTTTTTTACAATAATTTTTGCCTGCGGTGCGGAAAATTTGATCGAAATGGGGTCTTCATAGTGAGTTAGGAGAGCTCAGAAAATCAATTTAGTCAACCTAAAAAAAAGGGTCGCCAAAATTTTCAAAAATTTCTTCAAAATCCGCCCCCTCCCCCGAGAAAGTCCTTGATCCGCCCCTGCTTATAGCTTATATTTACATTAAACTTGATTTTTACTGTTTTTTCATTCAGAATAGCTAAATGTTAATCTATCATGATTGATTGTTTTTGTGAGATAATATTTTGATAGAAAGAGGGATTATAATTTATTATAATAGATTATAAGAGATTTTCGGAAAAATTTTAATCAATTATAATTGATTATAATTTGTTAAAATGTCATCAAAAATGTTATCATTATAACGGATTATAAATCGTTTAAACATCTAACATTGGCGCTTATAATTAATTATAATTTAGCTAAAAGTATGATTATAATTATAATATAATCGATTATTTCTGTTTACTGAGTGCTGGTGATTATATGGTAAAAAATTGATTAAAATATTTTCATTTTGTGTCAATGATATTGGAATTATAATCTTTTTTTCATCATATGATAGCAAGAACACACATTTTTTGTTCTTTCTAATTGCAATGTAATATATTATTTTTTTTTCTGAATATAATCCGAACAAATTTTTTTTGTACCATATAATGAGGATAAATTTTTCGAAAACTTGTTCGCAGAAAAAACTTGATTCATTGTAAGAATCATTTGCTACTTTGGAACAAAAGCATAAATCATTGGCTTATTAATTTTTACCTTTTAAACCTTTTTTTAGCGTATTAGCGTACTGTGCATTCAAGGTGCATTCAATCTTCAAGTTTATCGTCTTAGATTATTTTGGAGCTGAAAATAATCAGGAATATCTAAAAATTTCGAGCAAAATAGAATTTTTTGCTGACTTTTTTTATTTAATTTATGGCCGCAATGCTCCATAATTGCTGCTCTTGTTTTTAGATTTTATTGCCTGTTGGTGTCTCAACTTACCATCAGTTTTGTTTGTTCAGCTCACAGTTGCCACCTACGCCGTCACATCTCTTCTTCTGTCAGGCAACCTGTACGTGTTCAGAGTTGAGGGTGAACTGTGCTGTCTGCTGGGGTCCCACTTGAGTGCCACAGTCCACAAGTTGTACTCCCTCTACACCGCCACGTTCCTGTACTCGGTCCTGCCGGGGTCCATGATGCTGGTACTAAACATCGCAATCATCGTCAAAATACGGTTAGACGAAAGTTATGTTTTTCTCTTGTCAAAACTAAACAAAAAGAAAATTTTTTGATGATACCCGAGTCGAGGTCCGCGACTAATTTTTCGACCGCTGCGACCGAGATACGGTATTTCCAGAGTTTGTCCACGACCGCGACTTTAAACCCTGTCCAGGCTATGGATTTTCAGATTTTTGGATACCGAAAATCCATCGCCTGGACAGGGTTTTAAGTCGCGGACAAACTCTGGAAATACCGTATCTCGGTCGCGGCGGTCGAAAAATTAGCCCCGGCGTCGAAAAATTAGTCGCTGTATGTTCGAAAAATTAGTCGCGTTGTCGTCTCAAATTAGTTGCGGAGGTCGAAAAAATATTCGCGGCATGGTCGAAAAATTAGTCACTGCTTGGTCAAAAAATTATTCGCGGTATGGTCAAAAAATTATTCGAGGTATGGTCAAAAAATTGATCGCGGCGTTCGAAAAATTACTTGCTGCAGGTTCGAAAAATTATTCGCATTGTGGTCGAAAAACTAGTCGCGGCATGATCAAAAAATTAGTCGCGGCGGTCGAAAAAGTAGTCAAGGCGGTCGAAAAATTAGTCGCGCTGGTCAAAAAATTAGTCGGGGCATGGTCAAAAAATTAGTCGCGTCGGTCGAAAAGTTAGTCGGTGTATGTTCAGAAAATTAGTCGCGTTGTCGTCTAAAATTAGTTGCGGAGGTCGAAAAATTACTCGAGGCATAGTCGAAAAATTATTCGCAGAGGTCAAAAAATAAGTTACTGCATGGTCAACAAATTAGTCACGGAGGTCAAAAAATTAGTCGCGGAGGTCGACAAATTAGTCACTGCATGGTCAAAAAATTAGTCCCGGCGGTCAAAAAAAATAGTCGAGGCATGGTCAAAGAACTAGTCGTGGCGTTCGAAAAATTTGTCGCGGTGGTCGAAAAATTAGTCGCGACGGTCAAAAAATAAGTCGCGGCACGGTCAAAAAATTAGTCGCGGTGGTCGAACATTTAGTCGTGGCGGTCGTGAAAAAATTAGTCGCGGCATGTTTGGAAAATTGGTCGCGGCGATCGAAAAAACAGTCGCGGCGTTCGAAAAATTAGTCGCAGCATAATAAAAAAATTAATCGCTGGATGGTCGAAAAATGAATCGTGGCGGTCAAAAAATTAGTTGCAGTGGTTGATAAATTAGTCTCGGCAAAATCGAAAAATTAGTCGCGGCGGTCGAAAAATTAGTCGCGGAATGGTCGAAACATTAGAGCGAAAAAAAATCTCAAAATAAAATTTCTGTACTTTTTGGATGTTGATGCCTCAGTGGATCGATAGTGAGCAAATTAATCAGCTTGCTTTGTAAAAATGGGCTAAAAAAGACCAAGATTGCATGCAAAAAAGAGTGTTGAGGCTAGGCGAAAAATTTGACATAAAAATTATTTTAGCAAAAGAGGTTTTTTTGATTAGATCATTGAGTGTTTTGGTCAGCCAGTTTTGGACAAATTTAAGCATGCTGATTGGCCCAGATTTTTCTCACATTCGGTTCTTCTGTCATGAGAAAACAATGCTGATTGAAATTATCCGGACAAAATTAACAAAACATGAAATTTCATACGCCTTTTTCTCAAATTTGGTTGATTTTCAGTCTAATTTAAATTATTCGAGCAAAATGAACAAAACTTAAATTTTCATACGCCTTTTTCTCAAATTGGGTTGCATTACATTCAATCAGTTTTGGACAAACTTAAGCATATTGATTGGCCAAGAGTTTTCGCACATTCGGCTCTTTTGTCATCAGTATACAGTGCTGTATTAAATTATTCGAACAAAATGAACAAAACTTCAAATTTTATACGCCATTCTTTCGAATTGATTTGATTTTAGATAAAAAAGATGGAAACAACTTTTGCTCAGACTTCTAAAACAAATTTTATTATGATTACTATTACTATTATTATTTCTTATTATTCATGAATACATAAAATGCTGACTTCAAATATCCAGACGGAATGGTTAAAACATAAATTTAAAAACAGTTTTTCTCCATTTGAGTTGGCTTCACACCAAAAATTGATGAGGAAGAAGCTTGCTTGTAATTCGTTTCGCGAAACTTGGGGCTAAATTTTTGCCCAAAAAATGAATCTTTTTGGAATTTTTAGTATATCAATAACTAAGCCAAAACTCCCGGTTCAGTTGCCGACAAAACTATATCGAAGTAATTTTTATACATAGCCAAAAAAAACATTAAAGATTGTTAAACATAGAGTTTTCTCCACAAACTGCGTAAAACATTCAAAACAACACGTTGGAATTTTTATTCCAAATGACTTTTTTGTCAATCAAACGCAAACTACTTTTAATGCCTCTATATAAAAGTAATACCTCTTTATACTTTGTCAAGCTGCACAAGAAACGCACTTTGTCGTAATTTTGTCAGCAATTGATCGAAAGTTCTGGTGTAAATCATGCTTGAAAATAAAGCCCAAAATGATTGGTTCTTGGGTAAAAATTGGGCCCGACTTTTGCAAAATAAACTGCAACATTTTAATTTTGCTAAAACTCCGACCATCATTTTTCGTCTCAGTTTTTTCTACTTAACTCCTAAGTAAGCTTTGTGCACAACAATTTTATTGTCTGCAGGCAACCCAAACAGAGAAAAACAGTTACATTTTTTCTATTTGATTCATTCTGTCTAGATTATTGAAGTCAGAACTGTATAATTTCATTTAGAAAATGACGAATCATAGCCTTATTACGATTCATAAAATTTATGTTAAAATTATCAGCAAGTTTTGTCTGCATCTTTTTGTTGTCTAAAATCAACCCATTTGGAGAAGAACGCGTTTTAAATTTCAAGTTTTTATATTTTTTCTCAAACATCAGTTTCGCTAGGTCCTTGCAATTAAATTCATATCACATATATTTGCGGGAAAAAAAACGTCCAAACCTTGGTAAAAGAAAGTTCGTTCCTTGTTTGTTGTTCGTTGAAATCAAAAAGTGTAATTTCTCTGTCCCGCACCTGTACGTAGCGTTTAAACGACATAAAATAAGGTAGCAATGACTAGACAACCGCGTATTTTTTTTTGTAGGTTAATACAAAATTAACCGACCAGAATCGAGTCGCTAAATGAAGTGTACGAAACTAACACATCATAATTTTTTTTGGTAAGTTTGCCTCTTCATCTCGATTCTGATTGGCTTATATAGTCTATAGCTAGTTACTGAAGAGTATGAATACGCGGGTTTGTGGTTTCTAATTACAGACTGCACTCCGTATCATAACATGCTAACATGGTTGTAGCAATTAGCATAAGTATCAGTTAGCATGCGCATTTTGCTTCAGTTTGGGTTCATTCAGTCAAACAGTGTTTTAGCGTACATTTTTTTTTCAAAGCTAAAAATTATTAAAAATCATATTTGAGATAAATTTTCGACCATTTTGTTTGAAAAAATGTGTTGTTTTTGATTTCATTTTCAGATGATTTTTTTTTAAATTGTACAGGCAATTATCTATGACAGTGGGTTTGTTTAGGGACCGGAATGAGAGGAGAGCGAGTTGTGTGTCAGCTGAGATGGCCACGATGGACAGGTGTAGGGAGCACTCTATCACAAGGGGTCTGCTGGTAGTGTCCATCTGCTATCTCCTGCTGACGTCACTCGCATCTGTCAACATGTCCATTCTCACTGTCTACATCAGACCACGCATCAACCACCAGGTATGACCATGATGACCATGAGGAGTGACCTCAAATAAAAACTCTATGCTGGTCTCACGATTTCCATGAGATCATTTTCAAAACACGAAACTTTGTTGGTCATAAAAAACTTTTTGCAATGAAAAGTGCCTCAAAACAAACTATTATTTAAAATGATTGATTACATTAGGATCCAAAGTGGGCGAAGTATGCCCAACTGATGACGTACATAATCCAGTGGAGTGCAATATTCAACCTGTCAATCAACTTCTTCCTCTACGTCCTCGGCAGTCGCAGTTTCCGACTCGAGTTCATCCGCATGATCCGATCAAAGAAAGCCCCCGAAAGAGACCTACGAGACCTCACTAATCCGAGTGGCAATCAAATTCATCAGAAGATTAGTCACGTTCACTTCTGCGATTTGGAACCAACGCCAGAGCAAAAATATGCGAGAAGATTTACTACTTCAGTGTGATCTAATTTTTCCAGTTGCTAAAAAAACTCAAATAAATCAGAAAAGGTTTCCATCTTATGAAAATGTTGCATTGTAAGCTGCAATGAGTGTTTCAATATTCAAAAAATCCACGTAGTCTATTTTAACGAATCAAAATATACTTTATCAGTTTTTTTAATTAACAGAACCTTCGTCCTCGTTTGGACCTGGTGGTATTTTATAAAGTTTTCCTCAATTTCTACCCTAATTATGCTATTGATCGATCTGGTGCCACACATGCTGCACAAACCTTATTATCACTTCTGATATTCGTTTTTTCTTATAACAAAAGAAGCGTTTAAAGAGAAAAACCCGTTTGAAATTTTTGATTTTTCGTCTTAATTCGAGCGAATAAAGCAAGCGAGCAGGCTTACAACAGCTGAATTATACCTAATTTAAAATCTTAAAATCTAAATTAAAGTAAAAGTATTTGATGGATTTCTTTAGCTTCATTTTGGGAACCAATAACTTCAAAAAACTTTTTTAAAAAAACTTTGTTTTTCTAGTCATTTTTCTCCAAAAATTTGTGTCCAATTTGCCTATATTACTATGACTGTCTGTTAATGACAGTCATAGTAAATTATATTTTTACGTCAGATCCTTTTATCACATCAAGCAGAAAAAACTACACTAATTTGAAGAAAAAAAAACATTCTAAACCTAGTTTTTTAAAGACCATGGTCCGAACATTTTGTGCTACTCGCACAGTAACCGGCTATCCTTGTTATGGGTATGATTTTTTTGCAGACCGACTTTTAAACGGTTAGAAAACGGCATTGTGTCAGACGAAATTGTTACTTTGTATACCTGATGATGGATTTTTTAAAATGCTACCTGGGGTCGAATGTTCAGATTAAGCAGTCTTCAGTTTGATCTACGCAGGTTTTCACACCTTACAATTCATCATTAGCGAATCAAGCCTTCTCTTCCTACCATTCATGTATTTGGAGTAAGTGTTCTGGTTTGCAAATTGTTTCCAGTCTGCTTAAATCTGGTTAATCTCGTTAAATCCCTATTTTTCACAATAACAAAAAATTGATTGTCCAATGAATAAATAAGGCTGAAAAATGAAAAAATTGACGAAGCTGTTGAACTTGTTGAGACACATCGTTTATTCCGGATTGACCAATAATCGCTATCTTAGAACATTTCTGATAAAGGCTTTACAACTTCTTACAAAAACTGGCTCTAAGAATAAAACAAACAAGAAAATGAATCTTTCTAATAAGAACGAAAAAAAGGGAAAGACAAGAATTTTTCCCACAACAACTTTTCAAAAAAATTATAGCCAAAACCATAATTCAACGTTGTTGCAGAGCACAATACAGGAAATCCCATTGGCCATGTAACACTATCAGCCACAATAGGAAACAGAATCAAGCGCACATCGTCCACTAACAATTTGAATTAGTTAAAAGTTGCTAAAAAGATCAAAAAGTTAATCAAATTGATCTAGACCACAAAAATGAAACGTGCAAAACAATATGACCTCAATTCATTGTATTTTTACTCATCCTCAAAAAGTTTTTAACCGCTGGAGATATATGGTCGAAATTAAAACAATTTTGTTCGAAACGCATATTTTGCAACCATAACCTATCGTTTTTACAAGCATATTGAAAACAAGAAAAAATTATACAAAATTATTTTTTTTTATTATTTACGGTGGAAATTTATTATTGTTTTTATTGAGTTTTTTTTAGTCAACCAGCCCGGAGGCCTAACACGGAGGTTAATTATTTAGCTTGACATGAGCGCATATATTCAGCGCTCTTTAAGCTATGATTTACTTGCAAGAGCTCACCTTACGAATTGCAGCGCACGTGCGATTTGAACCAGCAATCATATGATTGCTAGGCACCATCATTACCGGAGCGTCACAATGCCACAATTTTTTTAAATAATTTTTTTGTTTGGATTTTTGGCTCTTTTTCCTTTTCCCCCCACCTCACACGAGCTTCAATATATTAGTGTAACGAGTGGTTTTACGAGGTTAAGTATGAAGACCCAGAATGTTTGTCGTGGCCTTATTGATCTGTATGTAAATTTTCATAACAATCGGACAATGTGGTCAATAAATTTACATGTAAAAAATTGCAGGTGGGGGGGAAAGGAAAAAGAGCCGAATTTTTAATTTTTTCCTAATTTTTATTATTTTGTTTGGAAGAAATTTGAAAGATAGAGGAAATTTCGACCAGACATAGGATCTGTAAAATTTTTCTAGCATGGTCAACCCACGTTATCATCATGGTTATTCTTAAAATATTCACTTGTGAGCATTTATTGAATTTTTCGATCAAAAACTAATCGTTGAACCCATATTTAATGAAACTAAAAAGTCAGTTTCAAAGTTTTTCTGAAAGTCGCTAAGATAGAAAAAGCAAAAACCAAGTGCGATCATGAAAGTTCAAGACACTTGGTGCAAAAATAAGTAAAGAAAAATATGCTATTGAAAAATGCTTAATCAAAAGTTCTGAATTAGACGAAGTCCAAAAAACATAGGTAATTACTTGAAACGCTCGTCAAAACAACAACACCATGAAATTTATGAGGCGAGAAAACATAAAGAAGACCAAGCTGACGAAAAACAAACAAATAAAACCAAAGTTTCACAGAAATGTCAACAGTGCCGCAAAAATGTCAACAGTGCCGCAAGTATCTACAAAAGTCATAAAACGGGTCAATACCTTTATAGCCCCTATTGATAAAATCCACAAAAATAAACATTTTTTTGCAAAAAAATAACATGAGCATGTTTGTTTATTCATTAACAACTCGTAACAATACGCAGCGCTAAGTTCACTGTTACCAAAATATGAACGCACCTTTTTTTGCATGCCTAATGATTGAAAAACATATCGATTGCTTTCAAGTCAATTTCAAAAAAAAGTAACAAACTCAGAAACTGACCGAGGTGGTATTTTTTTCATATATACTAGGCTGGAGGGCATTATTAAGAACAATTTGACATATTTACTATACTTTTACAACGAAAACCGCCAGAAAAAACCATCAAACAAATCAGCAAATGCCAAATATTTTCGTCAAAATTCAATATTATGAAATAATTCTGTAAACAAGCGCATAATCCGACCTAGACTAAGCAATAGAGAGTACGTCACAAAAGAGAAAAATCAGAAAAGTGATTATTAAAGCATGGAGCTAAGCCTTTCTCCAAAAAAAATCTATGGAAAATTTATTCAAATTTTTTATATAAATTTTTAAAATAATGAATAAATATAATTTTTCATGCAGTCACTCGAATAACGAGCTTAGAATGGACAATAGAGGAAAAACATTCAATTTTTTTAAATAAATTTTTTAAATAATGAATAAATATAATTTTTCATGCAGTCACTCGAATAACGAGCTTAGAATGGACAATAGAGGAAAAACATTGCACTCGAAATTTTTTTCAGAAGACAAATTTTTCATTCGGTGTTTTACAGAAAATAAAACAACCCGATTAGGTGTATTGATGCAAAACTAAGCAGATTGCTAAAATATCATATAGAAAGGCCGTGCATTTAAGTATGCGTGTAGATTTTGTGTAGTTCAATTTGAAAACTGTAAATTCAAACCAGGTTAATAGATTTCTCAATTTTTCAAAAAAATTCTAATCACGACTAAAAGTGTTGAATCTGACATCTGCAACACTTGAAACGGTTTCTGAATGCTGTTTTATTGAACTTCACAGCACAAAAACATAGTATCAATTACGATTTCTGGTAGCCCTGATAAACAAGTTCGAACATCAAAGAGATACTTCGTTGAAGCAAACATGCAAACTGAGTGCAACTGTACAAAAAGCTCAAGTAAACAAACTCTGTTGGCTGATTTCATTAAGGCTTCTTCTTGCATAAAATAAAATTTTCAACCAACATTGTAACAAGTCGGAAAAAAGTTATTTACAAGCGCTTCCAATTGTTACAAGAGGTAGATGCATGGGAGTAGATACTTCTTTTAGTTCAACTTAAAATTCTTCAAGTTCTTATGAAGGATCAATTTAAAAACAGTTCAGCTCACTAGCTCGTCGGTCTCCAGGTCTAAAAACTTCGCACCATTCACATATCAGCAAAGTTTTTAAACCTGGAGACGTACGAGCCCAACCCGACTCCGGGCTGACAAAAAGAACAAAAACAGCTGTAGTGAGCTGAACAGTTTTTAAATTGATTCTTTTAAGAGAACTTAAAGAATTTTAACTTAAGCTAAAAGAGTTTTACAATTACCATCCATCCACATAGCCGCTATAACCAAACCGCATTTGAGGAAAATTACAGCGCTTAGTATTGGAGAAGGCTTGTTGTGAGGGTTCAATTTTGGTTGTAGGGACACATACAGCATTAGAGGAAATGGCGTCGGCAAATAACTTTGTTGCTTGCTTTGGCAGATTAAGTTTTAAAATAGGTTTAAAACATTTTAAATCAAAGGATGATACTTCGTCACGGTTATTTAAATTTTACGTGTGGTTTTTTATTGATTGCATGGTTAGATAGAAATTCTATGGTTTCTCTTTTGAAACAATTCAAAATAGAAGGGCTTATTTTGCTTCAGGAGAATTATTATGTGAGAGTGAAAAATAAACTGTTAGAATGATGGGAACGGTAAATGGAGCTAAAAAATGATCAGTTGAGAGAGTGGTTGGTTTTCATTAGAAATTCAACTTCATTGTGGAGGTGGGCAGTGGAAATCATGAAGTAGAAAGCAGTTATGACACCGATAAATTTATTGCAGCTAACCTACAGGTAATTAAAAGAGGTATTAATGGCAGCGTGAAACCATAAAGGGGAAGTGTAGTCTAGTATGAGTCCAATCAGGGCTTTAAGAGTTAAATAGAAATGACTTTGTTTTGACAAGATTGAGCCTTTAAACTCCTACACTCCGCCTACACAGCGGACTTTTTGCAATAAGGGGCAAATCTAAGAGTCGGGTCAAACACTCGGTCTTAACTTTTAGGGGTCTTTGCTAAGCGGGAAATCCAATGCACTAAGCCTCTTAAGAGCAGTGTGTCGTGATTTAGTTTCAAAGTGTGACATGGTGAGACAGTGTGTGTACGATCGTTCTACAAGGCTTTGAAATGTCTATTG